GATGTAGCCCTTGATCTATATTTTATACATGACAATTGCTTATTTCTTATATTAATTTCAAATATTTCTGCTGTCTTCATGTCTACAGATCTACTGTCAAACTGAAGTTGTTTTACGAATTTCAGTGGGTCACTTTTTGGTACATTTAATGGATTTCTTGTTGGAGTTAATTGATTTTATGTTATTTTTTTTATGTCTCTCGATTATGTCATCTCAATCTAAAATTTTGTTTGGAAGTGAGTAAAGGTACAGTTGCTTCAATGGAACAATCAATCTTGAAAACACTGGTGGTTGTTTAATTAAGTCATTTTGCATGTTCACTGACTTAAACTCGCCCCATTATAGAAAATTAATGCCAAGTTAAGCAAGACGGCCGTAATTGTAAAATTGCAAAAGTTTTTGTTACTATGTACAGTAACATAGGTAAATTTAGTTACTATATAATTATAGTAACAAAATTTACCTATGTTACTATATTTAAGTATTAAGGAGACAATTTGAGAAAAAGAGACATTTTCTAAGAAATGTTTCAATTTCCACACTTTTCATGGTAAGATTATAGATATATAGTGCCAGTCAATTTTTCCCCAAAGTGTCTCTGCAATTGTCAGAAATATAATTTATGCTCTAATGTTATTATTTTTCGGCTTATATTTTATAATTTGATATACAGTGACATTAATGTAATATAGACATATTGCAAGATGAAAACTGAATCAAAGAATTTATTTAAACTTTCAATGATGATTGTTCTTAAAATATGATAACTGAAACACTTTAGGTGAAATATTTTTTTAATCAGATTTGGGGTCCCCAGCCTCATTTTCGATTTATCTACATGTCCCTGAAGAAAATACACTTGTATATAGCCATAATAATCTTTTGAATGCTATTGAGTGATAAAAGCAACAGACCTTTGGCTATAAAGGCAAACATAAGTGCCCGGCCAGCTTGCACAACAAGTTCGTCTGACTGTACACTACATCACCAGCTGCTCAATTTTGATATTCTTATATTAAAATCCCTAATCATCCAGCATGTGTATTCTTTAAAATGAATGTTGTGCATCAAATGTAGATCATTAAGATAGTTTAAATAATTTTATTTTGCTTGTGATGAAAGCTCTAAGCTTTGCTGAACCATGCTCCTGTCCGCTTCCTAAAACTATTACCAATACTGGCGTCATATGAGGAGGATACAAGGTTGTAATGTCAGTCAAGTGAATCCACCATCCATCCACTTGAATCCACTATCCCTAAATTGAGAGGCAGATACCTTTACCACAAGGCCACCACTTTTCTCTGCTTTGTGCATTTCTAAAAATTGACTGCTGTAAATAAGTATTAAATCTACTCTAGTACTTTAGTATTTTGATAATGGTTTTTGGTATGGCATAATGGATGCCCAAGTTTTGAACCAGCATTCTCTAGCTGATAAGGGCCATAAGGTCTTGTAATTTCTTGGCTATCATTGTTTACATAGATCATTTCAGAAATCAGATTTGTTCAATAAATCAAATAAATACCTCTGAAGAATTGACTGCTTCAAATTTTTTAGTATATATCTGTTCTTTAGATACTGATTTCCTATCTGTTATTAATGTTCAATTAACCAAATACCAGTATCTGGCGCTGAAGGATTTATTCTTGGCATGCACTTTCAAAAGATGAGAATTCATCCTTCTTTTACAATAACATTTTTCTACAAGTCTGCTTCAATTTATTTAAATACTCTTCACTCCAGAAGATATAAATAGCCTTCCTCCCACAACTCTGAAACCTAATGTTTTGAAAGCTTTTTAGTGGAAAGTTGTAATTTGTTAAGTATTGAAACACAAACATCTTTAAACCCCATCTTGAAACCAGTCTGTGTGAAGAATAATATGATTTGCCTGCTACACTTGAGAGTGACTGACAGGGTGTTTTATTTTCTCAAAGTGTCTGTCCTATTTATCTCATGAACAGAAATTTAGCTAGACTATACCTTATATTATTTACATGTTAAGGCACATAAGTCAATTGATCCCCTGGACCCAAAACCCCTAGAGAAAAGGGGAGACTGACTTTCAAATCACTGAATCCACAATAAAAACCCCATTTAACAAGAAGAGATCTGCAAAATGCCCCCTATCTCCAGGCACTGCAAGATGGACATGTCCTTTGCTATTAGGCATCAAAAGAAAATATTACATTAACCTGGCAGGCTAGGGGACAGAAGAAAGGTAAGGACTTGCTATCAGGGCTGGGGTTTCAATTGGCTTGTGCATAACAAACTTCACAAATGATACATCATGGTCATCTGCACAATTAAAATGAATATCACCATCGTCATTATCATCATCATCATCATCATCATTGTTTATACATTAACTGACATCTCAAGGTAAAGCATATAATAATTCAACTCTTCAAATAGGTCATTACAAAAATGGTCATAAAGGCGTAAGTGGTCTGTGAGTTCACCTGCATGGAGATACAAATGGTCACACAGTACATTTTCCAATACTGTAGTCTCCAACCAAGGTTAAATGTGGGGGTCAGGATATAATGAGTCATAGGCGGCCAAGATACACCTTCTCGTATACACCTTCCTTTATATATTTCTGACCAATTATTGAAAATACGACATTTAAAGATTTATTTGTTTATCTTATTTGGTTTTAGGTCACACCAACACTGTATTTACTGATGGAAGAAGACCTCTGGTGCCCCTCCTTGCATTATTTTAGGCACAAATGGGCACCTGGCTGAGTAGAACCACTGGCATTCCATAAGCAATCTACCAATTGGTGCTGTCTGACCAGGCTTATACTGACTAACTGGACATGTCCATTTAAGATATTCAGCAGATGAAGGGGTTAATTAAATTACACAGATTATTTTAAAAGTTTAAACCATAGGTAAGTTAGTTCTTTTATTAGTCCCAAAAATGTTTATTCATGCTTAAGAGACAAAAACTCTGCATAAATGGAAAAGTGTGAAAGTGTCATACACAAGAGTTGTATGTACTTCCGGACAATTCCAGAGTCTGACAGTACGAAAAGGGGCTTACCCCGGTAACTTTGTCAAAAGATAACACAGAGTTATTGGACCTGTGGCCATCATGTCAGATAATCATAAAAACAAGTGCAAATAATGTTTCAACCCATTCCCTTCAGTTTTTGGAGATACCAACTTGGAAACAAAACTTAACTAAAGTGTGACATTGAGGGTGGAGCCAGGGCCAGGCCGAGTTTATTTTTTTAATAGCTGAGCTATAATTTGACATATAATGCTCAACACAAATAAGATATAATGTTATGTTCTGTTTGGCACTATTTGAACTGCTTGATTCATTGAATGATTAACCTTTTTCATACAGGAAACACTAAAGTCTTCAGTTTAGTAATTGCAGATGTTCTTGCGTCATAAAAATAGTTCCCATGCATTTTTAATTACGTCTTTAACAAAAGTAATTTTTTTTACTTTTGACGTTTCACCAGGCCAATAAATGTTCATTCCTTGGTTATCGGCCAATTAGAACAGCTTTGCAGTTTTATTTAATTGGTATTTTGGCCTTAGGATAGAGTAGAAAAATTATGTTTTTCATGCAGATTTTATTAGTAAATTTTTTTTTTGCACTTATGAAGACAATAAAAGAATAAGTATAATACATAGACAGGGTAAATTCTAAGGGTCGTCTTAAGTGGGAGGTGCATAAAGTATACAATTATGGGAAAATGCCATTTAATTAACCCTTACCATTCCAAATATCTTAATTGGACTCATCCAGTTTTCAATCTGGACCAAACCATTCAGAATTTTTAGGGAAAATTTTCAAATTATGTACTGACTGAATGGCAAACAGATGGTCAGATGAGACAGTCCACACATGCCCGCTCATTCTTGTCCGAGCTGGTCGCATTGGCAGATTTAGTAACGCTACCAGCTAACAGAGTTATATAATGAAATAATAAAACAAAAATGCAACTTTTATTTCAACTTTATTTATTCTTTCTTTTTTACAAAAATATCAGCCATATATACATAAATATTTTCAATAAATATATACAATCATGTACACAAAGTAATAATAAATATCAAAATTATTAACAATGTCATCATTTAATAAACAAAATAAACATTTATACAATATTATATAAACATGTGAAAAATTGAAAATGCTTATCAAAATAAATGCACAAATATTTTACTATTCATGACACTACCAATGTAGAAAACCTAAAAAATAATGATTACTAGTCTACATATAAAAGCTATTCAAAAATACATGGATGATCAAACAAGAGGGCCATGATGGCCCTGAGGTCGCTCACCTGTATATAGGCCCCCGAAGCGGGGCCAGTTTAAACCCCAGGGCTTTTATTTGAACAAACTTGGAATTAAGACACCCATTAGAAGATGTTTCATGATGTTAAGTTTTGGCTATACACATATAGGGAAAAACAATGACCTTCTCCCCAAAGAGTTAATTTTAACCCAAGAGCTTTTATTTGAACGAACTTGGTAGACACCCATAAGAAGATGTTTCATGCTAAACATCTCAGCTCTAGCTCATTGGGTTTTTTAAAAGAAGATTTTTTAAGTTTTTACTATACACATATAGTTAAAAACAATGACACCCCTGGGGCGGGGCCAGTTTTGACCCAAGGGCTTTTATTTGAACAAACTTTGTAGACACTTATTAGAAGATGTTTCATGCTTAATATCTAACTCTAGCTATTTGGGTTTTTTCAAAGAAATTTTTTTAAGTTTTTGCTATACACATATAAGGAAATCAATGACAATTTTTGACCCCAGGGCTTTAATTTGAACTACTTTGTAGACACTCACTAGCAGATGTTTCATGCTTAATATCTAAACTGTAGCTATTTGGAATTTTTTCAAAGAGGTTTTTTAAGTTTTTGCTATACACATATAAGGAAAATCAATGACCCCCGGGGCAGGGCCAATTTTGACCCCAGGGCTTTTATTTGAACAAACTTAGTAGACACCCATTAGAACATGTTTCATGCTAAATATCTTAGCTCTAGCTCTTTGAGTTCTTTAAAAGAAGATTTTTTAAGTTTTTACTATATGCATATAGGGAAAATCATTGACCCCCCTGGTGCGGGGCCAATTTTGATTCCAGGGCTTTTATTTGAACAAACTTGGTAGACACTCACTAGAAGATGTTTCATGCTAAATATCTTAGCTCTAGCTCTTTGGGTTCTTTAAAAGAAGATTTTTAAGTTTTTACTATATGCATATAGGGAAAATCAATGACCCCCTGGGGCGGGGCCAATTTTGACCCCAGGGCTTTTATTTGAACAAACTTGGTAGACACTCATTAGAAAATGTTTCATGCCAAATATCTAAGCTCTAGCTCTTCTGGTTCCTTAAAAAAAGATGTTTAAAGTTTTTTTCTTTCGTTTGCCATGGCAACCAGAGTTCTGCATGGAATTAAATTCTTTGAACAATTTTTAAAGGTGACCACCAAAGGAAGATTTCTGTGAAGTTTGGATGAAATTGGCTTAGTGGTTTATGAGGAGATGTCATTTGAAGCATCAATTTCATATCTTAATGTTCTTGTTTTTTTCTTCAAATTATCAATGTAAAATATATATTTATGTCAAATTTCTTTCAAATTATCATTATTCTATATCTATCTCAAATTTTCATGTTATAATAATGTCATAGTTTCCCCTCAAATTATCTATGTTATATCTTTATGTCAAATTATCAATATTTTATACTTTATGTCAAATTATCAATGTTATATATTTTATGTCAAATTATCAATATTTTAAATTTTATGTCAAATATCTTTTAAATTATCAATGTAATATATCTGTCAAGTTTCTCAATTTCATAATTATTTATAATTAAATAACCTTCGATTTTTATCGATGCTATAACTATATTTATGTCAAATTTCTTCCAAATTTCTTCCAAAAATTTTATGTTAAATCTATTACAATGTCAAATTAAGAGGTCATAATAACACTATAAAACGATAAAACAAGAGTTAAATTTTCAAGACTACATGTATTTGAGAATTTCCCATATATCTATTTAATTCAGCAAGAATAATAGTATTAATTTTATTATCTAAATTTCTATTTAACATAATATTATATTTATCAGTTGCTATTAGATACAAAGCTTTTATTGACAAGCTTTGTTTAATGTTTATATTGACAATGAAATAACAGCACAGTAAATATCAGACTTCAAAAATAAACAAGAAAAAGTTCTGCATTAGTCAGAGAGGTGCAAAAACTTTGCACGCATTTATCAAATTTTATAAAATAAACTGGAATTAAGCTTGTCAAATTTGATCAATAGACGGCTAAAAGGTCTGATTGACAACGGGTCATAAACGGCAAATATTTCATCTACTGGCTGTTCCATTTATCAAGCGTTATCTTGCCTAAATTGGTATTAAACTCGGAACAAAGTGGGGGACTGTCATGCCTTTATCACTACTCACACATGGTACAATCTTTTAATGTTTACTTACATTTAAAGACCAAACACTACTTCCTACATAAATTTTTTTCTAAACAAATATCGCTGAGCTTGAGTGGGACTGTCAAAAATTTAAAATTTAATAAAATGAGCATTTTTTCCAAATAAATAATTATGTACCACTGTTAAGTATAATATACTAAACACTCAGATTTAAACACTATTTTAACCCTGTGATAATGATGTCAATAAATTTTCTCTATAACTACAATTAAAATATGGCTCAAGTTTTCATTAATATTAACACTCTATATTATTAGGTTAATTAAAGTAAAACCTGATTTCAGCCTCCATCAATAATTAACCCCAAACTTCTTATGTTTAATTTTTTTATTATTTTTTTAAATGCCAATTTTGACCCATTTTTTGTTCGGTGGACCTAACCAGCTTTCCTGGTCAACTAACCAGTAACTACCAACTTCTCCTCAAGTTAACGACTTGACTAATTGTACAACCTCAAACTTAACAAGAGGAAAGCCCTGGTTATGTCATCATATCTGTATGATAAACACACTGATGGTGGGTTATCACACAATAATAGAAAATCAAGTCAAGGTGGGTCTTTAAAGGAAATATGTCTGGAGAGATATGAGAATTTTGTTACCATAAATGTTTACCTTAAAATTAAATATATTCTTATTTAAGGATACATATTTAGAAGACACCATAGAATTGTTTATTCTTACTATTATTCTTATATTAAAATAAATGTTGACAAATTAAATCCCGTCTTTTGTCAAAATCCATTTTGAGCCATCTGCAAAATTAATTTGAGACAGAACAGAGAATTAAATTTGAAACACTTTTATAAATTTACTTGACGCCTGAAAAGTAAAATCATCGGTAATTATAATCTACAAGAGATCTTTATGAAATAATTTATCAAAAATTGTGTCTAATTCTGCCTATGAATACAGTAAAAACTCTGAAAACCGGACCCTATCCAGACTTGACCAAAAGTCCGGTTTTCAGAGGATTCCGGTTTTCAGAGGTTTTATACATTTATTGATAAATATGATGTGTTTGAACAATGACTTTGTTCAATGATTTTGTATTTACTTTTCAACCCTTTTGTCTTAGTCATATTTTAATTTCTTTTTGCAATAAATACCGTAAGTAATTTTATTATGCAAATCCATAAATATAATTTTGAAAATCAGAAATTAAAACAACACCTTGTCTGAAATATATCTTCTTAATTGGCTTTTAAAATATGTAATTAATGGAATTTAGTATTACTATTTTTGCATATTATTAATATCAAAACAAAGATAACTTCAAGGTAAAAATTTTAAGGAAAACATGAATCGTTTAACAAAAGTTTCCCACTAATTCTAGACATTTTATATTTAAAAAAAAACAAGAACAAATTTAAAACATTTTGAAAAATCATGCCTATACAGGGTCAGACACAATTACGATGAAAGAGCTTTAATTTAATTGCCAATAAGAAATTAACACAAGCTGACAAGTGTTTTCACACCTGCATAGATAAAAGTATGTGATCCTTAATTGGTAATTGAACATGTCACCTGTTGAGATTATGTTTAATCTACATTAAAATACACAGAAAGTTGACACTTAAAATTGCTGTCCGGTTTTCAGAGGATTTTTTATGCATGTTTAGCATTAGAAACCATTGGAAATCGTCCGGTTTTCGGAATTCAGAGGTTCCGGTATTCAGAGGATCTTTTTTCATTGAACATATAAGGAGAAAATATGGGACTTTTAAAATGGTCTGGTTTTCAGAGGATTCCGGTTTTCAGAGGGTCCGGTTTTCAGAGTTTTTACTGTAACAGCTTTTGAGCCTCAGACAGACTTGAACAGTTTTAACCTGTTATACACCGTCTCTAAATACAAAATAACCTGTCATAAAAATCAAGGCTCAAAACCACAAAAAAGTCATGATAATTTACAAAAGTGAAATTTCACCATATTTATCCCCCTCATGGAACTTAGATTATAAATACATATGAATTCATGATTTTTTATTCTTAAAACTTCATGCTCAAAAATGCTAAAACCACATTGTTACATAGTAACTGTTGTTGATGATATATTTTGGCACAAATGAATGTATTTTTATGGTTTACACTATCAAGAAATTGAATTTACATTAATTCATAAATATTCATAGAATCAGTATTTCTGTGAATAATATTTTGCGAATTAAGTGATAGAAAGTCCTTGGCAATTGCCACATGCTAAAACATCTTTGGAGTTGCGAAACAAACTATCTATATCTATTGTAATAGCTGCTAAATTTTATGATTGTCATATTCAATTCGCTAAATATAACAATGGACCTTAATTACCTAAATACCGACAAGTCCATTACATAAATCTAGCAGTGTAATGAAGAGAACTGAAGTCCTGTAGTTACCTAAATAAAGAACAAGTCCTTTATATAAATTTAGCAGTGTAATGAGAGAACTGAAGTCCTGTAATCACCTAAATATGGACAAGTCCATTACATAAATTTAGCAGTGTAATGAGGAACTGAAGTCCTGTAGTTACCTAAATATGGACAAGTCCATTACATAAATTTAGCAGTGTAATGAGGAACTGAAGTCCTGTAGTTACCTAAATATGGACAAGTCCATTACATAAATTTAGCAGTGTAATGAGGAACTGAAGTCCTGTAATTACATAAAATTTTTAATGGACAAGTCCATTACATATATTTAGCGGTGTAATGAGGAACTGAAGTCCTTAATTACCTAAATATGGACATTTTAGTCCATTACATAAATTTAGCAGTTTAATGAGGAACTGAAGTCCTGTAATTACATAAAATTTTTAATACCGACAAGTCCATTACATATATTTAGCGGTGTAATGAGGAACTGAAGTCCTTAATTACCTAAATATGGACAAGTCCATTACATAAATTTAGCAGATTCATGAGGAATTACATAAATACCGACAAGTCCATTACATAAATTTAGCAGATTCATGAGTAATGAGGAACTGAAGTCCTTAATTACCTAAATATGGACAAGTCCATTACATAAATTTAGCAGATTCATGAGGAATTACATAAATACGGACAAGTCCATTACATAAATTTAGCAGATTCATGAGTAACTGAAGTCCTTTTCCCTAATTGAAGTAAAGTCAATCACAAACATCTAGCTGGGTAAAGTCTGTTTTTCTTCAGTTTTCATATAATAATTAACAAACAATACAATATATTTTATCATTTTGCAGAAGGATATTTCGTCTGCTCAAAGTTCCGTCTGCCCAAAGTTATCGTTATATAACTAAATACTAGTAATTATTCTTCAAAAGGGTCTATTATTATAAAACGGTTAAACCTGTGGTCAAAATGGTGGATACGTGTCATTAATGCAGTCACAAGAGAAGGTTAAGTCAATTTTATGATCCGTGTAAATATTTACACATGTTCCAATTTAAACATTTACCCAAATATTTAAACAGATTATCAATAAAAAAACGAACCATGGGGCGTGTAAGCTCGCTTTGCCATGAGCTAACAAAGGTTTGCATTTAAAATTAACCAAGAAAAGGGGAGGTTATAAACAACTGATAGGAAAGATGAACCTTGCCAATAAAGGGAGATAATTTACTGATTACAAATTGACTGGAGTACCATTGACACTGGGTTTCTGGAGATACAGCTGGTTATAGGGAAATAAAATGTGTCAAAATTATCATCTTGCGCTGTATGGGGAGATAACATATAATCATAAATAACAATGCCTCCATGCACCCTAATGACAAAAGAAATATTTAAACACAGAGATCAGAGTGGTGTGCTAAAAACAATCCCTTGTCACAATATTTCGTTAAAGCCGTAATTATAGTAAAAGTGATCGTCAATCTAGAATGACATCATCATTTTGATTTATACATATATTATAATATACATACTTGTTATAGTGAATTTACTTAACAACAATTTTTTATCTCTTCAGACCCGACTTGTTAAAACAATTTTAGTATGTACAAAGAGTCATCTCCATATTTGAACAGTCGTCTAAAATCCACTCTAAAGCCTCTACAACTCTGTTTACCTTTCGTCCATAAATGTACCATCAATTACACATAAGAGATTTCAAGCAAGCGCTTCGACTACAATGTTCCCCTAAATAAAGAACCCAGACAAACAACTTTTTAAAGTTTCGAGCAGTTTATCAATACACAAACAAAACACGTCATAAATAATGCATGAAGTGCAAATTTACTTTTAACTTTTGAATAATCGTTAAAGCTAATTAAAGAAATTGAATATAAATGTTCTAGACATTAATTCGGCCTTAAAACCAGTGTTTTGTGACACACCCAATTTTCTTTCAGCATCGGGGAAAATTTCAATGTCTTTCTTCCCATATATGTCTATTGTACTTGATTATGACTATAAACTGTATGCATCAAAGATATCATTTCATACAGATTTCCCACGAGGAGAGTACCTCCTAAAGAGTCTTTGAAAATCAAAACTTACGCAAGAAATATAGCCGTCTCTACAAACAGACTAATTGAGAATATCGGCAGCTTTCAAATAAATAAATCGAAGAGAAATTTCTTACTGCCCAATGAATGAAACATGCAACATGTCCAAATAATAACAGCCAAATCAAGGCCATGCCAAACAGGATATTAAAATGGCCTGCAAGCCAGAAGTGCGAAAAGCTGTCATACATATATACCTGATACATGGCTGACTCAGAATATGTCATATGTGAAAAGTTTATCACGCTTCATTTTGGCACCAAGAAAGAAGACTTAATTTCATCAAGAAACCTTTTTCTGTGGATAAAAATGAAACATGCCAGGTACATAGTTAGGTAATCTGGTATTATGGTAAAATGTCTGCTGTATATACATATATCTCTTAAAATGACGTCAGCAACATTTTTCTGTATCTTTAATGACATAAGCATCATTTTTGCAATGATATAAGCTATATTTTCTTAATGATATAAGCAATGTTTTCTTTATGATGTAAGCAAGTGCTTAACATTATGAATACCTACTTGAGTCTGACTTCTATGATTTAAATACTTATGTAAATCAATAGTCGCCCCTGGCAACGCATATGGACAACTTTGTAAGAAATTTATTTTTCCAAGCCAACAGATACACAAATTAATTCCAGGTGAAACAACTGGTCCTGTCACATGCAAGTTACACCATTACACAGAACCTCACATTTTCATGACTTGTTAGTAATCTTAGTTGAAGTAGCAGGGGATCAAACTTAAGACCCCTGGGGTTGTAATTAAAGAAAGTCACCATAAAGACAATTTGCCCAGCTCTTTTACTACATATTTACATTTTTTTGCAACATCATTTTTGCGACGGACGCGCCCTCAGGCGCGTTCAGAGCTAAGTCATCTACACATGGGATTTCGTTGGCTACACTCGCGCAATGTGTCCTAAACCAATTAACAGCCCAAGAAATAGTACATGAATTTGATCCTTCAAACTCTCCATACTTTGTCTGGATATCTTAATGTCTTCCATATTTAGCCTTTTCAATTTCAAATTAAGTTATCCAAGTTAAAATATGAACGTATATTATTGATAAAAACGTTGTAGTCCCGTAGTATTATTGCGCAATATGCAAATTACTGCTGAAACGATTTACCGCTGTCGAAAAAGTAGGACAGCAAATTATACTACAATAAAGGTGTAACCTCTGAGTTCCAAGACATTATTAGTAGGAAATAAATATTTCTACATTATACAAACATTATTATTAACAAATCAAAAGTTTTTCGTGACTCTAGGATACCTCGCGCATTAATAAAAGGAGAACTATTTTCGTGACTCATACCGCGGGTTTAGCTGAATATTCAGCAGTTATTAATATATTAGATACAGTACAATGGCTAGTATAAATATCTATTTTTGAAAATGCATGTAAGACACTTTACCGCCATGTAGTTTTTTCACGGTAAGGAAGTTATAATATCAGTTTCTACTTCCGATTCTTGTGGTTTGTTTACATATTTAACTAGGTCACGATATGAGTTAACCTTCGCTATTCTAAAAATAGATTCTGCATCACCTGTTCTGATTTTTGGACAGGCGATTAGGAAGTACACATTAAACATGTAATTAATAAACCAGCGGATTGTAATGCAATACTTTTAGAAATGCTATACAATTGTAAGAAGCAAACAAGTTGAAAATGGAATTTAGTGTGAAGTTGAAAAGGACAACTTAACACTGTAGTGCTTAAGTGACATTTAAATTAAAAATAAAAACGATGTGCTCTGGCCTCTACATCTTTACCTTGTAAATAAAAAAAATCTAAGGAATACACTATTAATTGCTGATGATTTTAACCAATTTTTTTTTAATGAGACATATCCAAGAGAAATAAAAATACAAATGACTTATATTTTATTGTCTGTATGCCCACTATGATATAACACGAAGCAATTCTAAATAGCATTCTCAAATGTATAATGTATTATGTTTGAAGTTTATTTGCCTGGATTTATTCTAGAAATATTTCGTTTTTTTCTATTTACATATCATTTCTTAGAATAAATCGATAAGGACACTGATTTACAAGTTTGACCAGAGTTTTTAGGCATAAATTTCATTCTGTATTTAAGTGCTTGAAAGTAGAAAATCTGAATTATATCAATTTGGGACACAAAATATATTGCTCTACAAATCTCGAACTTGTATGGAACAAATTTTCTCTGTTATATATTTTGTGTTGTTTTTTTTTTTGTTTTTTGTTTTTTTTTTCTAAAAGAAGCCTTAATATGTCTCTCCGGTTGCATGTCCGTCGCATTCAGTGCTGCAGCACTTTGATTTCATAATGAAAGTTGGAAAAAGGTCATGTTTATTTTTACCAAGATCTTCCCTCATCTAGACTAAACATTAAGGTAGAATAATTTAACATCTGGACATGGTCAAACCAACATTATTTAATAATTATGAACTATTCTCATTGTAAGCATAATTTATTATGAAGGACAATGCTCTGTTATAAGCTCAATATTTCATTTCAATGACTATAAATAAACAATATATTCACACCATACATGTATATATTAATTAAAGAGCCATTTAAAACAGGCTATGCTTTGTTAATTGATTTTTCAGTGATTAATTGTGTTGATTTTTAATTTCCAGGTAGAGACATGAACAAATTTAGGCATGTAAGTATTTTTAAATGACCATTTTAACAAAATATATTGATCTAATGCAGAGAATAGATCACTTCCTATATATATATATAGTCATCAAACTGATCAATAGCTCTGCAAAACACATCTTTTGAAATGTAATCAGGTGAGTGTTGCACCATCTGCGATACCTACTGGAAGGCATTCTCGCAGTTCAAAAATCAATGGGAGACATTAGAACATATCAATGAAGAGTCATATTATATACTCCCTGATCATCGTGTTAACATCAATCTCCATCACGAAATTGGTTTTACAAGTACAGGAAACATGGTAATACCATTACAGTTTATTTTCATACACTGTGATTTTAACTGCTGAGATTTATAGCTGATTGACCATTTGATTTGAAGTTGGGGGGAGGAATGGCTTTAGAGAAAGCTAGATTAGTAACATTTTCATATGAGATCATTTGAATCTAATATCTAGTTCCATTATTAACATGCCTGAGTCAGGTTTAACCAGTTAAAGCACACTTAATAATCTCCACATATTTTACAGTTGTTTTTTGGTCACCATACATCATGAATTCTTTGTGAATAATGTAAAAACTTGATAAATACTCAAAAAATACATTCTTTTAAAACCATATAACTGATAAATTGTTATACAAGACCTTCTATCACTGCAATAAAACAAAAGAAATAAACAAAAAAACAATGTTGTATCCGGATGTACTGAAACTTAAAATGTCAACACAAACCATATTATTTAGTATTTTCTCTTTCTTTTTCCAAACTTTTGGACTGTTATATATATGGTTCTAATTGATGTGGTCACAATATAAACCATGCTTTATTATTTCAAGGAGGCTTAGTTTTAATACCCATCTACTTAGCAAATGTGTAATCATCATAAATAAGTAACAATTTAAAAATTTATAAATACTGGTATATCTTTCATTTAATAGTGCATATTTTAAAGAAAGTTTGAGTTCATGAGAAGTTTAAAAACACTTCATTTAAAAGAAGCAATAACTTTTAAATATTGTTCAACACTTCTGCTGATTGAAGGAGTGGGAAAAATTTAACAGCAATTCAAACTGAAGAGTTCATTACATGTGAATTTCTACCTCCTGCATGAAGAGCTGTGAATATTCAACATTTCAAATACACTGTACAGAAAGCAGACTGTGAGAGAAGGTCATAAAGAACTCATTCAAAAATGCCCAATTAATATGGGCTGTCTTGAAAATGTAAAACAATTATTTATCATAAGAGCTACCTGCTTTGTGGAACATTTCTGGTTTTCAGTGCTGAAGAGTAAACTTTCCAGAAGCTAGCAAGCTTTAGGTTTGTTGCTGTGCTTCAGGCATGGAAACATGACAGGTTAGATGGTAAATCTGAGCAAAAGGTGCTACATCTTATAATAACCGCCAGAATTAATTGCTGAACTGGATATTCTGATGTGAAACAAGTCAATATAAGTAACATTTTTAATTGCCAGCAGATAGCAAAAATATGTGCTGAGCTTTGCAGGAAAAACATCGAAGAGAAACATAACATTGTGGTATTCACGAAATTGACAAACTCCCCTTTTAAATTAATCGCATAATTAGCTAAACACTCAATGAAATCATTAACAAAGAAATCAAATGTCAGTTGATCAGGAACTTGTAATGTTTCCAATAAAAGGGGGTATATTGAGCAGTACTTTTCAAAAATTTGAAATGCAGTAGAAATATATACTATATACTTAATAAAGTCCAACTTGGAGCAATTATAAAATTGTTATATAACAAACCTTGATTGTAATTAAAGAAAACCTACAGATAAGATCTGGCTATTGTTTAGTGTAAACAATGCTTCTGAGAGTTCTGTGTGTGTCAAGAGCTGCTTATTCACACTGATGAATAATCTAAGAAAATTAAAACACCACAAAAAAGTTCAAGTCCCATATTATAATGACAATAATAATAACAACAACAACAGAATCTGAACAAAAAATAGTGCAAGAATTGCCAATCATAACTAGCGATATTGGCAATTCAAAAAGATAATACCATGATTTGTCAGAATGGGTAGATTTATATTTCCTTGTGCTTGAAACCAAAAAAATAATCTGACATTATTATGGCATGACAGAGCTGCAAGAAAACATACTCCTGTTGAAGTATCAAGAATTTATATATACAAGTGCCACTATTATAATTTCTCGTACAGTTACATTCTATCATCCAAAAAAACAACATACTAAGGTGCTTTTTTTAAACAAATGTTCATCTGGAAAAGCCATTTCTGTCAAATGTATGGCACAAGCCAAAAATATTTCATTAAAAGAGTGCAGAAACTAACGATCATAACTCTAACAAAATGTTATTTCTATGAAGTTTTACGGCTAAGTAAGAATGTACTCATTCTCATAACATTATACTATTCAATTTGCCCATGAGAAATCAATGAAATTCTCAAATGTGCTAATAAAAATTTCTATATAAAAATCTATTTAATTATTGTATTCTTTCAGAGAAAAAAAATTACTCGATTAAGATAACTGTTTTCAAAAATATTGCTTCAAACATAAATCAAGCACATTTTTTCCTCCCTGTAGGCAGACTGAACTTTTTTCAACAAAGTTTATTGTGATTCAAGTTCAACTCTTCTCCAAGCAGGTAACACAGTAAGGTTAACTCTTCAGCTAGAAGGTAGAAAAGGGATTTTCAGGCCTTTAAGCTTGTGTAAAGCATCCAAAACATTTGCCATGTGTGCATATTAAATGTTTTATACAAGTACACAAAAGAAGTTTACAATTTTCATACACAGAATGTACGTAGAATGTATGTTCAAAAGTATGTATCAATGGTTATCTCACATCTGAAAGT